TGCCAATAGGGTAATATTTCGACTATTAGGAAAACCGAGAATCAAGCATTCTAGGGCTTATTATTCTGTACGAAGCGGTGCTTGTGAACAGTAGACTATCCAAAATTTTGGGGTTACACTATTTAAAACGAGACTTAATCCCACTTTGGAGGTATTCTGCCATTACTTGTGCTTCTGATTTCATGATGGCCTTTCACTCGGTCGATATTCGTCTGTATATGCATGAACACAGTGATGATGATCAAGGAAAAAAATTAGGAATGAGAGAGATGTAAGGGTAAGTTTTGACAGCAAACAGCTGAGTTCGATAGCTTTTATGCCTACATTATAACTGCGGTCGAACGCCAGTCATGGTCTTTTACATTAAAAATTGAACGCGACTTTATCTCTATCTACTGGGCTATGAAGTAGTTCGTCATTTATGTCACTTCTGTCTATCAGGTGTACAAGTCCGAGGCACCCAGTTCATCCCATTTCTTCTAAAGACATTCTGACAAAAAAGCCGAGCTCTTCGTAACGGCACCTAATCACTATATTCGATCAACCAATCGCTCATTCATTCACCCCTTGCAAACTTTACTTCTCAATAACAGGGTACCATTATCGAACGCCTATCCCAGTATGACTCTTCCACTAAATTTTTAATTATGATGTTTTAATAATTGAAACTTGGCACATAAAATTCTTAAAATAGTTCGAAAGTGTGTGTTGATTTATACAATTAATTTAATGGACTTTAAGAATAAAAAAGAAATCGAAAGAAATTAGGTTCCACTCATTGGTTACAGCTATCGGCTGTCATTCCTCAAATCGTGAAATTCAAAAACATGAACTTTCGCTTTGCTTTGTAAAATCACATGGCCACGATGTAAAAACCATAGCTGCCTTCTCGAGTAAACACAATAGTTGTAGATTCTGCACTCGCTGCAATCAGTAGCGGGCTTATAGCTGTCGACAAAGTATGCATTCCTCTTCCTATGATCGAGTAATGTATTCAAATTGCGATCGAATATAGTCGTTATGGCAAACCATATTAATCCTGACTTTTAAAGCTCCCCTAGACAATGCTAATCATTAATTATGGATACTGGACTTGCTGCAACCAGTGTGCATATCTGTTATTATCATCGAGTAATGTATTCAAGTTGCGATCGAATATAGTCGATATGGCAAACCCTATTAGTCTTGACTTTTAAAGCTCCCGAAGACAAAGCGAATTATTAACAAATCTTACCTTATCAATAATACTGTGCAATTATTCGGAAGTGACAAAAGAAAATAATTTATTATTAAATTAGTTAAAAATAGAATAAAGCGGATTTGTTTAGTAATAAAAAAGAAGCAGATTTCCATTCTCGCGACAAGAGACCTTATACGGTTGATCAAGATTCGCCTGTAGACGAAGATGATTTTCATATGATTTTTTCATATTTATTACATTCATAGTTGAAATGGATTTAAATCTGTTTACGTGACATGAATTTTGAATATTTAAACATCATTCCAATCATTCCAAATGTAATATGACAATAATAACGTCTCTATAGTTTACAAAACGAAAATAAAACGAAATATTAAAAATCAACCAACCAACAGGCAATCAACCACTCGGCATACGGCCAATTGTAAGCCAAATGCATTATTTTACACACACACACACACAAGCGTCTACTAATGTTTTATGCACGCATTAATATAAGCCGTACGCATTTGCGTGCGCATTACGACACTTCTTAATTAAAATCTTGTACAGTCAACGTAAGTGTTTGCGATTTGTTGCTTTTTATATCCATCAACGAAGGATGAAAGGCATATTCGTTTTGACAAAACGTTTGTAACACTTGTAGCAGCAAACTTCAAGTGTATACAATTTTGATTAGCATTAAATTCTGTCTGTCTGGTGGTAAGCATTCCCCCCCAGGTCGCAAAAAGAAACCTGACTTCTCCAAATATGGCAGAAAAATGAAAAAATACTTCCACGCAAGTGGACATTGAAATTAATGCCGATTCGGTTAAAGTACACAAGCCCACAGTGCCAACATAACCTGAAGCCACTTCTGTTTTCAAAGATTAAAAAAAAAAAAAAATCTGCTTTGCTTACAATCACATAACAAATTGCATTTAAATACTATGAGCGGTTCTGCAGCAACTGTATAAAAAAATGGCAAAAATTGGCCACGCCTACACTGCATTGTTCAATTATTAAAATATCATTTGCAGCATTGAAAAATCGGCCACACCCACCATATTATAACGTATCTAAAAAGTAAAATATTTTTTTTGTTGTTTTTTGGATCACGCTGATATGGGTTGAAAAGATTCGGTCTAAATCGAATATGATTTTCTTACTAGTTTCATTTTTTTTTTTTTTTTTTTTCAATTTTTACGATTGACACAATTGTTTAATGACAGAAAATATATACATAAGTAAAAGATTAAAATTCTCATATAATAAATGTAGGCAACAAAAATCATAAAATATATAATTAAAAATATTTTTCTGCACCTTTTAGCTCTAGTCTTTTTTTTTTTTTTGTTCTTTTTCGAAAGAAACTAGAGTAAACTTATAAGTGTTTAGCGTTGAAATATTTCCTTCTTGGCGGAAGTTCAAAAGAAATATTTCTTTTACTTATCATGAAGTGTTTTTTGTCGCCGCGATTTGACAATACCTTTAGCTAATTAGGTAAAGGAATGTAGGGAAAAAAAGACCATTTAATGATTATCTTACAACGAAAGGCTTTCATCGCTTACCATATTTATCATATTCATTTGCTTAGGTGTTTTTCCATCTGCGTTGATGGAATTGATAGGAAAATATTGATTTAAGTGCACTATCTTTGCATTTTTTTCATCTCCATATGTCTTGCATCCTTTTCGATGGCTTTTTTGCTTCTCTCTTCCTCAACTGATTACCTCACCGTTTCCGTGTTCATATCAACACCTTGTCTTTTGCCTATAAATCAATATTGATTTGTTTTCCTTAAGGCAAACTCTTGGCAAAAATTAACATTTTCTCGAAATAAGTTTTATTTCAATTTCTTTTAGCATTTGTATGTGTAGTGACATGTAGTGACAGAATTAGACCATTTGGAAACTATTTTTAAAATCGCTAAATAAAACTTACATTAGACACGCATTTAAGCAAATTAATACCTAAGCAAGATTGTTGCTAAATCATTTCTAAAATTATACGCTTCAGATGAAAAAAGGGCGAAGGGGTACAAAAATTTTCCTAAACAAACATATCACATAAAATGTATTGCTTCAGCCCAATACATTGTAATGGCGTATTTGCCGTCACGAAAACGAGTTCGTCTATGCGAAGAAGATATTCCTTAAACATTATAGTCATTATTCAACCATTAATCATTCGGGTTCATGGTTGATGTTATGGATTGGTTATATGCATTGAAAGAAAAAAAACAAAAAAAAAAAACAACCGCAATGTTGAAGATTTCGTAAAATCTTTAAAATTGTCCTCAATGCGAAAAGCAGAATGTATTAAATGGTGTGTGTCTGTGTTTCCAAATATTTTAGATATTGAAATTTCAATTACAACAATGTTAGTGGGCAAGTTTTTCTTTTAGCTTAGGATCGAGAATTACCTAAATAAGAAAAAGTGGTTTATGTGTCACGTGCCGTCATTCCAAAAAAAAACTATTTAGAATCAATCTGGCGTGAATAACTATTAAACATTATTAAACACTTTACTCAATAAATACGCAGGATTCCTAAACAAAGACAAAGACAGATCACTAAACTCTCTGTAACGTATAAACCAACAGTCAGAATGCCAAGATGTGGATTTTTCAATAGTCATTCTACATCTCCATGGCCAGAGTTGTGGGGGAACGGTGGTGATCAGGAAATATTATAGGAAAAGTGGGATGTAGAATGAAGATAGTGTTGGTGAAAGTTCGCCATGAGACAAAAGGTACGACGAGTCGCGGTAGTGTGTCGTGTTCAGTTAACTCCAGGACGGTTGAATGAGAACTCTGACAAAGACGTGTAGTCGTCCTGAAGGTTTTAATTGGTAGACATATCTCTTTTATCTCTGTAAAACAATTGTCCTGAATGTACCAGTGAATACGCGTAACGCAGCTCACGTTACAACGATGATCCAGGGTTTCGGGTATGCTGTACACACTCCTTCGTTGTTCGTCGCCTATGAGAATCTTTCGCTCTATACGGTTAAGGGCCTTCAAGCAAAGTTGGGAGGCTTCCGCCCATACACGCGAGTTATATTCTAATGTTGGCTGAATGTAGGCGGTGTGAATGGTACAGATATAGGTACCAGAGGAGTATTTTTATCCACGCTTTAAAAAAACCTGATCCCTTGAATGCGTCTTTCGACGTTTCGAACACAAGAATACCCAAGAAAAACATATAAAAATAAAAATATATAAAAAATATATAAAAACTTACTCAGTAAGTTCGTAGAATGACATGCAAATGTAGGATGACTACTAACGAATGGATATTATTGGATGATTGGCGTTATTGAGGTTAGCACTTGTGTAAGCCAAAGGTCTAAGACAAGGACGTTTGTATAAAGTTTGATAAATAATTTCGGAATTTAAAGTTAACTTTTAATGTTAATATAAAATTTTAGTTTTTATTTGCTTGCATTTTTACATTCCTCTAGAGTATATCGGGACTTAAAGGAAGCAATTGCCAACAATATAGGAGAATATCAAGATAGTAAATTTCCTCACTAGGGATTGTCCATGCCAAGATGCCTTCTTCAATTTTCCGCCCCATATACGTATCGTAATAAAATAATATGCAAGAATTTTTCATGAACTCTGAATATATATATATATATATACATTATGATATTTATCATATCGAGGCGATAAGTGTTCGAGACATTAGAAAGATATTGTATTCTCTGAAGTAATTTTGTAGTTTTTAAGAATATTTTAACTAACTGTTTAATTTTTTAACACCAAAAACTTAAAAAATTTAACCGAATAACTTACTACAGCTTCTCGTTACAGAAAGACTTTACTGACGACTGTGTCTTCAATGAGAACATGGAATTGCACAACTATAATACTTATTCGTCAACTTATAATTCGAATGCGCGACGAAAATATTATTTGGCATTAAATCGGCACGGGGAACCGCGCAAACTGCAAATACCACCAACCCGATCGCTAGGTAAATTAGCGACATATACGAATGCTATAACTGAAACGGTGCCGCAAGAGCGTGTTGAGCAATTAATCGCGAAAAATTTTGGAGCAAATCGTATAAAACATGGCATTCGTCAACTCTGTGATACTGGCAAACCATTGATCGAATTGATCGATAGTAAACATTTTAAAGCACGTCCTAAGTGCAATCCAAATAGTAGTAGTTCGAATAGCAACAATAGTAGCAGTAGCACTAGTAGTAGTAGTAGTAGTAGCAGTAGCAGTAGTAGTAGTAGTAGTAATAGTAGTAATAACAACAGTCATAAGAATATTAGCTTAGATAGCAATTTAGTTAGCAATTATGGCCAATTATTGAACAACGTTCCTGCTGCCAATGATAAAATTAGATTAGAAAACGCTAGTAGTAGTAGTGGTAGTAATATAAATAGCAATAGTAGGAGTAGTGGTAGTAACAAAAGTAGCAGTAGTAGTAGTAGCAGTAGTAGCAATAGTAATAGTCATAGAGATGATATTCATGAAAGAAGTAGCAATAGTGGTACCAGCCAGAGTAGTATTAGCAATAGTCAAATTTATGGCCATATTAGTGATAGCGCTACAAATAGCACACAAGCCAGTCATCACGTTGGCGGTGTCAAGAAAAAGAAGAAGAAACGAAAATGTCGTCCATTGGAAAATGAAGAAGAGCATAATTGTCAACGCGGACCGCAAGCCTTACGAAAAAAAGCGAACAGCACACCGGGTGCGTTAGGACCCAAACGTGAGCAAAAATGCCGTGAACTTTTGCTACAGCAACAACAAGCTCAAGTCGCCGAAGTGATATTACCACCTATGTGCAATAAAATGGCTGGTCATAAGAAATCAAATAACAACTCCAATCAGAAGAGACCGAACAACAATAAGAATGGTTTCGCAATGGATATTTTGAATTTGGGTCATAATAATCGTCGAGGCAAAAAACTTAATGTAAATGGTCGTCAAGCAGCTAAACTACATCCGATGAACGGATTCAGGAAACGACCAAAAAATCCAAAAAGAGGCAACAACAACAATAGAAAAAAACAACAACAGCAACAAGGCACTACACAGAAAACTACAACCGCTAATACTAGTCCCCCATCCACTAGCCCCAAATTAATTACAAGTACGACAAGTAGCAGGAGCACTACAATTATAACGACGACAACGACGACTACAAGACCACGCTTTTGGGAAACTACCTCGTTAATACCCACCACAACCATGTTTGATAATTTCGATTTTCAAACTGAAACCACTAGCGATCGGGGTGAACGGGAACAGCGCAACGTACATTTCCCTTCATCTATCGAAGAGTCAATAGAAACCTCAGCGGAAGAGCACTTAATCACAGACAACGAGGATTCCGAAATTGATAACGATGATCTCGAGGTAAATGAGGAAATCGATGAAGTGAGTTATGACGATGATCTATACACGGCGAGCAGCAGCAGTAGCAGTCATTTGCCACTTACAAACATCGATACAAACACTCCACTCACAGGTGGCGCTGAAGATTTCCTTTACTACGATCAGCTAGATTTGTGAGTTTTCCAAGCCATATATAATTCAAATTATTTATTAATTTTATTTCAAAAATAATTTCTCTATGTACATTTTATTAATATTTTTTTTTTTTTTTTTTTTTTTTAATGCAATAATTTTGGTTTGTAACATAAACAAGTAAAAACTTTGTAGTGGGTCACGGCCTACCATTGAATACCCTACACCATCCTACGCTTATTCATATAGCGGCTTTTCAAAATACAGGCGGTATATGGGAAAAGATTGAAAAAATTGTCCGATCCGAATCATTTTCAATTACGTGGTAGGTGTAGTGAACTTTATCATAATATTCTCAAATAGTGTGACTTGTAAGTTAAAGAAGAAGAAAACAAGATGGACGGACGGACGGACGGACAGATGGATCGATTCAAAAAGTGATATTAAATCAATTGCGTATGATAAAAGATGGATCTATCTATGCAAATCCTTCTGGGTGTTACATACATCTACACGAACTTAATATACCTCTGTATTATCAGCGGTGTAGGGTATAAATGTGGCAACAACAACAACTAATTATGAATGTATAATTTATTATTTATTTATTAATTTTCATTTACAAGGACGCATACAAACACCCATACATGGGCACATATACACACACATGCATACACGCTTACCATACCAACGCATAAACCGACAGAAGCCTTTTCGTGTTTTTATTTATTTTATTCTTTATTTTTTCTAAATTGTTTTCTTTTTTATTTAAAATTTTGGAATGTATTGGCTCTCATTGTCTCTCTCTCTCTTTCTCTCTTTCTTTCTATCTCTCTTTCTCTGTATCTTATTTCTTTTATTTTCTCTTAACTTTTTGTTTAAATTTCTACTATGTATAACCAATCATGAAGAAATGAAAATAGTCATGCTGCATTTGTTGGTATATCCTCCTTGCATTATAACAATGACAATCATATCTTGTAATTATCGATGATGAAATGAAAATTGTATAGAAATAGAAATATTTATTATTCTTATTATTATAATTTTTTTTTTTTTTTTTTTTTGATTATAATTAATTTATATATATGAATACAAATACACGACAGTTATGATTAGATATGAGCTTGAGATTTTGATGATGATGATTATGGTGATGTTGGTAATGATGATGGTGATGAAATTGTACAAAATTGTTATAGTTTAGCAGCAATAAATAATTTAAAAATATTTTAAAACGCGCACGCATTCAAATAAACAAACACACATTATATATTAACAACGTTACCATATGATTAAGCAAAAGGTATGTTGTTTGCAAAGCATTTAAATGTCATCTCAACTTATGTTCTTATAATGATATAATAAATAGCGTTTGCTTATAATACAATCGATACTGAAATGTTTAAAAGATAAAGAGAAGAAAAACGAAAAGAAATTCACGTTTATGAAACCAATCTGACAAAGATATTCTTTCTATATAATGTATGTATAATAAATGATAAGCAAACGCAAGATATTTGTAAATTTTTTGCAACCAAAAGGCATTTATTGAGAAAATATGTAACAAAAAAACACACATACACACACACCGAGAGACATGCAAGACAAACCAACAAATTCAATTCGAATTCATTTATAAATATACACATATGTACATACATCACACACAGTCATCCTTGCAGCCAGATGGCTTCTCTATAATCATCTCATATATTTGGCATTCGCTCGCGTTCAAATAAACTTCAAAACATTTACTTTCCCTTTCTTTAAAACCCTATATATCATTACATTATTATATCGTCTACTTATCGTTTATAGTCGGAAATCTTCGTTTCATACATTTCAAGTAAAAGTGTAATACTTACCATATCTCTGCTCAAGATTATCAGTCATCTCTGATTGGATTTTTACGTTTGGAACATTACTATCGTATGTAAAGTTATCTAAATGTGCCGCACCTATTATCCTCCGCTCAGATTACCTTATCATATCTGGGGCTATATATATATTGATCCAATTAATTAGTATCTGTGGGATGCAGCTTTGGAATTTTTTTTTATTCGTAACATTAGAAGTTTTCCTATATATAACGCCGTTTGATCAAAATATAACGAGAATTTTTTCTACTTTCTCAAGAATATTTATTTGTGAATGTCCACTGTTTTTAAATTAGTTCCAAATTAAATCTGTACACTTGAGCGAACGAATTTTTTATCCTGCAAAATGCTGATGGAATTGCTGTTCGGATATATTTTTGAGATGGGTTGAGTTGACTATCGCTTTACCTTTAGCAGAAAAAGAATTTAAGTTTTTAAGTATGGGAGATCAGAAACACTTACAGTGTAAGAAAGAGAAAGAAAGACAGAGAGAGCGAGGTAGAGAGAAAATGAAGGAGCAAAGTTACCCGCAGGTCTGCAACGGCTTAGTTGGAAGTTTTTATAAAATCCTGTAATTACGGTGCAAAAGCCACTGAAACCAAAATCCATCTGACAATAATTAATCAAATTCCAGGGCCCTTCATCGAATGAATTCATTTAACTTTATTTTCCTTTTTTTTTAATTTCTGTAGCTTAGAACATTGCCAATACTTTATCGCTCTTCCTAAAACCTCTATTGTTATTTAAAGTCCTTTTTAAGACCTCCAATAATTCCGCCATGTTCAATAAAGCAGTGTCCTTGATAACCCTTTCAAAAAATCTGCGTTCCCTTTAAAGCAAAGCAAAAGAAAGAAAATTTTCCATAGAATTTACGGTGGACGCAATTCGTACTTTATCGTTACTTTTTGATCAATATAATATGTCCCTTTTAAAAATCAAAATTCAAAAATCAAATTTCAGCCTAAATTTTATAACAGTAAATTTTAGTCCTGTATGCGGTTCATTTGGTTTGAATTTTTTCAAAAAAAAAAAATTTAGGGCACAATTGACTTAAGGCACATTTTTTTAAATCTATGATTAGCTATATCCATATAAATGTGTGCACAATATTCAAAGGCTGAGCGTTTGCCCAGACGAATCATATATCGCAGCATTTGTATCGCGTATCGTCCACTGCAAACTTTTCAAATTTTGTGTTTTTATATAATTAGGCGATAGGTCATAGTTGATAACTAAAATCCATATTTCCATACACCGGTTTATTTAGATGTGCATTTTTGGAAAAAGGGCTATGTTAAACGCTATTGTGAAAGTGTTGATGATCGACTTGATCTGATAGATAGTGTTTAGCCTTTGACGGAAGCTTCAACATTTTAGAAAACGAGCTTATTCTGGCAAGGGCATCCTGATTTCTATGTCGATTTGGGACTTTCTCATCTTTAGTTTAGATATATTTGTTTATCGAAAATCGCTCAAGCGACGAACAAGTCAGTGTTCGCGGTTTTGATTATCAGTACGGTAGTCCTTACTGTGGTCGTACCTATCAGGGAGGGTGCAGTCGTTGAAGGCATAATATTTACCGATTGGGCATATACACCTACTACACTATGACTACCTCGCTGTCTATTCACTCCTTTCTGACCTTTTTTTGACTTTCACCTTACGACGCGCATAGGGGCCATATCTTGAGTTATACTAAAGAAACGAAAACAGCACTAAAAGTTAAGTTTTAGAAAATGTTTTCTGAAACTTTTGACCTGTGCAAGCTTATGTAATACTTTGGTCGGCGAAATTCAAACGTAATAGTTCTCTCTCTAAGTCTTTAATATTTCAAATCATAACTACACTCTTACCGGCCTCAAAAGAGCTGCACATGACGCGCGAAAAAATCCCTGTTCCAGTTGGTATAAGCGGAATTTCTTTTTCATCGTATCTGACATAAAAGTCGAAAATTTCAAGTACCAGGAAATCAATTTTTGCAAAAAATTTACGCAGAGATTCAATAAAGTAGGCATATGTTATAAATTAATTGGGTCCGTTAACGTGAAAGAATCCGACTGCAACACGGAAGGTCAAAAAGTAGCTTTGTTTTGCCTTTGGCGACTACGCAAAGTTCCAACATAACCTTAATATTGATCAATCAAACGTTTTTAGACATTTTACCTTTAAAAGGTATTCAACTGCCGCACTAGCAATCTTATTCTGAGCTTGAATGAGTCGACGGTTGGGGTATACATGCCTGAACTTGCTTATATTGGGAAAGAGTCAACTGCTCAACTACACTAGCATCACCCGAGTTTGTGTTTATGTTTATTTGAAAATGAAAATTGGCTCAAAGGCATTTAAGGAAACTTGGCTTAGTAAGTAATACGCCCTACCAATTATTATATGGATCCACTGACCATCATCAAAATATCTCAAAAATTTGCAACCTATGAGTGGTTGAACACAAAAAAGCAAGACGGACAAACGGACAGACAATCTTAGATGGATTGAGAAGATGATTTCAAATACGTTACAACGAACGGTGGGTCCACCTTGATTCCTTCTGGAACACACCCTTGTGGTGTAGGGTGTTAAAAGAGCAATCCTTGCAAGTTATTATTGGAGATTTCTGAGCTCCTAAAGTCTTCAGCAGAGCAAGATTGTTATATTTTTTCAAAAATACTCAAATCCTTTTTAACTACATTATCGAACTATTCGACATTTTTTATTATCCTAGAATAAAAGTCTACGATTTTTTTTTTTTTTAATTATTTTAGTGAAGTTGTATTTTGTGTTTATTTATTTGTTCATTTGTTTTTTTTTTTTTTTATTTATTACTTAAATCCATTCTCCAAAATTTGCCAAAACTATCAACACAAACACATATTTATTTATTAAACACAAATTTTATTGAAATCATGCACTTATGCTCGCACATGCAAACATACAATACAAAAATAATAATTGCAAAGTATTTGTGTGAAAACAATAAAAAATAATATCCATTTCATAAAAAAATGTGTGATGGAAACATGATAATGATGAACTACTGTATGCCATAAACAAGAAAAAAAAATTCATTGTAAATATTGTGGAATAAATAATGAAAAACTTAAAATCTATTTAATTTTTTACTTATTAAAACCAATTAAAACAAAAACAATAAAAAACACATTTAAAAATAAATCAAAAAAAAAAAAAAAAATTAAAGAAAATAAAACAATTTAGTTTCTAAGCATAAACCTCGCTGCCTCTCAGTAAGTAGTATAACAATAACAATAATAATAATAAACTGAAAAAAAAAAAACAGAAAAATGTAAATTAAATAAAATTTAACAACAACAAATATTTGAAAGCCGCTGCTTTTATTTTCAATAAACGAAATTCATCGAAAATAAAGAAATCGATTCTATTTTCTTGGAAATTCTTGTTAAATATATTTTTGAATAAAATTTTTACCCGAAATTTCTTTTTAATCCCGAATCCCTGCCCTAAACACTGTATCAATTGTGATACATGGTTGGACTAGGTTGGTCTGGATGTGTGCAATATTTAAAAGAAGTTGACATATAACGAACTATTGCTTGGTAAATCTATTTAAGCTTGTTTTGTCCGTTTGTCCGCCTTGTCAAGCCACAATTTTTGACATATTTTGATGAAATTCGATGCAAAGAAGTGTTTTAGCCCAAGGACAAAACCTATTGCACATGATTCGTATTCGTGTCACTTTTCCCATATAAAGTCGCTACCTTAATTCAAATAGAGTAGTGTGCGGCCCTCGCCCACTATATAGAATTTTTACCTTTTCAACAGTGAATTAGTGAAACTTCTGGGCGAGCATTTCTTCAATTTTTAAAACTAACCTCAATAATATTATTTTATAGTTAAAAAATGTTGCCATAGCGCCAGGCTAGTGGCTCAGTTGTTTTGTATGAAATTGCACGTCCGAGTCTTGTGCTTTATAATGCCATTAAAAGTTCTCCGTAGCTGATAAAGAAATCTGCTTAAAGAGGCGAGGTAGAGGAAGGCTTCTTAGAGGCTTATTTTCCTATTACGATTAGTAGGATTCTCGTAGTGTATGTCACTTGTATATTAACAATTAGTTTCATCTCAGTGTATCAACTTTACTATTTCAGGCTTGTTTTCACGGCAAACCATTTACAGCCCGCATTTAACCAATCCTTTATAAGGGAAGTTTTTATTATCAATTACAAAAAGACAGACATGTTTAGGGTGTTTATTATCATCATTAGATATGTCACTAGCGTTGTACGAACTCCTAATAGAGAGGACTCCTGTCGACACCAATACCAGGAACAGTGGGTCTCAACTGGCCTCCAGCATCCAAGTATCATAAAAATATTTCACTTACGAACGATTAAAAAGTATTCCAAAGCGCTGTTTCATATCCAATTCTGGCACAGTCATCCAAAGCGGATTCTTGTAAGTAATCGGGATAAATTTTTTTTGCGTTGACGTTGAAAACTTCAGCAGATCGAAAGAAAACGTTGCACATAGTGGGCATGATTCGTCTCTCGAGTCCAGCCGTGGCGCAAAGGACCCTTATGAAGGATCGAGAGAAGGGATTCATAAAAAACAAACAAAGAAATTGTAAATGTACAACGCTTTTCCCAACGTAGCTTGGATATGTGAGGCTGTCACTCGTCTGCGTACTATTTATTATGTGCAGCAGGACCTTCCACGATTAATCTAACTGTGTGATATAAGTCACTTTTTTCTACATGATTCCAGTATATGAGGCCGCGATCAGTTCAACGGACTATTTTACTGTATTTACTACTGCAATAGAATTTTCTTTGATCAATGTAAGCCGTCAAAGCTTTGCAATAATCAAATCAACGCTTCAAATGAAAAAGAAAATACTTCAATGACGGAACACAGTGACTTTATCATGCGAATAATCATTTATCCATTTTGAGTAAAAATTATTTTAAAAAAAAATTTTTTTTTTTACTCCAGAAAAAGTTTATTTTTTTTTTTGTTTTTCTATTTTTAAAATATGCTTTAATTTTTTTATAGTAAAAGTATTCCAACTGCATGATGCTTGCATTAGTTTTAGCATGTCAGGCTTGGGACAAATTTAACATCTTTACAGATATATGTAAATATATAAATTTATGAAAAGATACTATGGTCATAGGTTATAATCTATGGTTAAGATTTAAGGTTTGGGTTGATTGAAGTATTTTTTTTTTTTTTTTTTTTTTAATGTTTTTGGCAAACTTTTCGTTATCTTTGATCAAATTCAAAATTATTCTAATTCGAAAACTTAACGCTTATATATGTTTTAGCCTACCATTGAGTCTATGGGAATTAACTGCTCTACTGTGGATTATTGCATGGAGCTTATACGGAATGGAACCTTCTTAAAAATTCATTAAGTTACGCTTTAGTTTTCCGTTTTCGTTTTTGCTACGAGTACCTTTTCTTAAATGAAAATCGAAAAAACAACAAAAACTTGAATATATTTTTAAATTTAATAAATATAGATAGATAGAGAAGGCATAATAAAAATTCTTATTATTTCTGTATTATAAATCTTTAGAGAGATAGTTATGTATTTGTAAGTAATTAAGGCTTAAATAATTTCAAAGAATCTGAACAATTTTTTTTATTTTTTTTTGTAGACTTTTTCTTTCTCTATTTATTTATTTTTATCTTTTTTTTTTTTTTGTTAATATTAAGCGCAAAACTAATTCGAAGCAATCAAGCCATAATACATTGTTCCTAAACACTTAGTGGTTTTTTTATATTTAATTATAAAAATAATTTCACTAAATTGTTTTCTATATATATATATACATATATATATTTATGCATATATGTATATATATGTATGAATATATACATGAGTTCATATTTTTCCCATCTTTAGAATTTGCTTTACATCATTTTATATAATTAATTTACTTTCATGTAAACATTAAAAAAAAAAGACTGAATAAAAAGAAAATTATTTTGCAAAAAATGAAAAAAGAAATATGAAAAATGTTCAAACTTATAGAACTTTTCGTAAATCTGTCTCTTTCCAAAGAAAGTAAGTAAAACTCTGCTTAAACTGTAAAGAAGAATAAAATCCCAACACTGAGTACTTGTAGGTGACATTGCTTTATTCACTTGGGGAACTCTGACATATAAGTCTGATCGTTAAGCTGTTTGGTTAGTTTGCTAAATAAATATATTTAATAAAGACGTGTCTTATCGAAAGACTAACTGATACGTCTGCAAGTGCTTAAAGAAACAAGGAAGAACACTACATAAGGCTGCGGCTGAATATTTTATTTTGCAACAAGTAAAAACATTATGTAGTTGAGAGAGGCCGGCTTCAAGATATCCTGCACCAATTCGCCCAGTAGAACCATTCATTCGTTTAAATAATAAAAATACACCAATAATTGCACATTATTTTCATGCAAGACTTGTATTTCTTGACAACGCGCATATGGAGAATCAACGCAAATCATCATCGGACATGATCCAAA